TGATGGCAAGGGTAGGCCCGTTTTTCGCTCTCCCCAGGCTCCAGAGACTTTCTAGGAGGCTGAGGAGGGCAAAAATGGCCTTCCCCACTCCCCCAGAGGCCCTCCGGAGGCTGGAAACAGCTTTTTTCCTGACTTCCAGTGGGCCCAAAAGGCCTGATAATCAGCTGCCCAGCACGCACATGCATGCCGGAGCTGAGCTCGCGTGCCCACCAATATGGCTCCACGTGCCATAGGTTCGCCATCACGGGTCTATTCTCTCTCCCCCCCCCCCCCATGAAACCAACCAAGTAATAAAATGACCAAATAATAATAATTATTCATATGGCAACTCTTTCAGCATTACTTCTCAGTTGCCCTGTGAATCCTTTTGAAGCTACCTTAAAGACAAGCTGGCTGGGACACATACTTTTCATCCAGGGGTGAAATCCAGCAGGTTCTGACAGGTTCTGGAGAACCGGTAATGGAAATTTTGAGTAGTTCAGAGAACCGACAAATGCCACCTCTGGCTGGCCCCAGAGTGGGGTGGGAATGGAGGTTTTGCAATATCCTTCCCCCAGGAGTGGGTAGGGAATGGGGATTTTGCAGTATCCTTCCCCTGCCACACCCACCAAACCAAACCACACCCACCAAGCCACGCCCACAGAACCGGTAGTAAAAAAAATTGGATTTCACCACTATTTTCATCCCATTGGTTTCTGTGTGTTCCAAGTACAAGTACCTTATAGTATAATCCTATGCTATCTATTGATTTCTAGAAGTTCATTGAGTTTTTATCCAAATTATTAAATAGTAGGCATCGTATCTATACAAACTATTTTTTTCTTCTTCAAAAAATAGAGGATTCAATTGATAATGACTGCTTCTGGTTTAAATCAAAAGATGTTTTGGTCCCATAAGGTTGGATCCTCCATTGTAGTTATATTTTCTTACCTGAGGATAAGTCTCACTAAAAGAAATAAAAATTATTATATGGTACTTGTACTTGGATCTCACAGAAACCAATGGTACCAAAAGTGTGTGTCAGCCAGTTTCATTTATATATATATATATATATATATATATATACATATTTGTTGTTGTTCAGTCATTAAATCATGTCAGACTCTTCACAACTCCATGGACCATAGCATGACAGAGTTCTCTGCCCTCCATTTTCTCTCAGAGTTCACCCATATTCATGCCCTTGCATCGATGACACTATCTCATCCTCTGAGGTCCCCTACTGGAATAATATATCAGCTGTAATTTTAATAGATCTAATATTCACTGTGTATTTTACAGTATTTCTCTTAATCAAAATTCCTTTATTGCATTCTTGAATTCATACAATTCTTGCATACAATTCTTGAATCTAAATTCAGCACCCGTTTAATTTAGTCTTAGTCAGTTTCTGGTTCATATTTCGCTGTTATGATATAGTTTTGTGATGAAAAGCATTTACAATGAACGTTGACTTCTTGTTCTTTATTAAAACTGTGTCCATTTAAATAATTTGGAACCATAATTCATCTTCCTCAGAATTGTTAAGCATGAAAGACATTTCCAGATTATCAAAAGCTTACACTGCATCAAGAAAGATTATAGTTGCCCTCTCATTTTATCAATAACATTCAAGATATAGTTGACATTGCCTGTCATCTATTTCTTTGGGACAAATCCAATCTGACCAGAAAGTATTAATTTGTTTTTTAAAAAATCCTCTTTTTGCAAGTATTGTGGTCTGTATTCATTAATGAAGTACGTCTATATGATTCTGAATAGCTGTCATTTTCTTTCTTTGTAGATCAGAGAAATGAAAGCTTCTTTCCATAACATAGGGAGTTCTTGACTTCATTAATTACCTAGGATAGTGATCTAATCAATATTTCTTGGAAACACTTATAGTATATTGTGGAAATGTCATCAAATCCGGGAGATTTTTTTAATTTGTTTTCCGATTGCTTTCATAGTTTTATGATTGGTTACGGGTTAAGAATTACATTTTTGTTGATATATAAATTTTAATATATTCAAGTATTCCTTAATCTTTCTGGATCAAATCTCTGTTTACTATATAATCTTGAATTATATTTTAAAAATTGCTCTATGATATCCTTGTCTAGTTTCGTTTCTAATTCAGTACCAAATAGAAGTAATAATTCTTTGGTCTTGTTCATTTCATAGTTGGCAAATCAACAAATCATTGGGGGTGTTCTTTGGAACCCTGACATTTGCTTGATTAGGTGCTTTTTTCAAAATATTTAGATTTGATAAAATTTGAGTAGGATTCATATATTAAGGTACTCATTTCGTTCCATTAGAGCTAGTTAATTATGACTTGTTTTAATCTTTTATACTAAATTCACAATTGGATTATATTTGTGATTTATTTGCTTTAAGTTCATTTAACAATAGATCCTGTTATTGCAATTTTTTTGTTTGATACCAGAGAGATAAATAGTTCTTTAAAAATTCTTTAGTAGTCCTTATACAGTAGATAAAGAATCTTAAATTGATTTTGAAACTTGATTCCTCTTGACTTCAATTTGAAGTCATTTTGTAATAATAAAAGTTTAAGTCTCTAACTTTTAGTCTGGAGGATCTTCTATTTAATCTTAGAATTAAATACAGGCCTACATATGCAAATAACAATAATTTGCATATGTAGGCCTGTAACTTCTTGTCTAGGAGATTAGTGAGTTAGTAATCAGGCACATATAGATTCTAAAGTAAATTTATAAACTGAAGACTAGGAAGTGTATTTTTATCCATGTTTATTTATTCATTTATTTATATTCCACTTCATTATTTTCATAAATAACTCAAAAGCATGAACATATATCCCACACACCTTTCTCCTATTTTCCCCACAATAACCCTGTGAAGTCTATTTGTATCTCTACAAATTGAAGAGATAATAGTGACATACTGTGTTTCCCCGAAAATAAGACACTGTCTTATATTTTTTTGAAATAAGCGCTTGGCCTTATTGCCATGCGCTCAAAAGCCCGATTGGGCTTATTATCAGGGGATGTCTTATTTTGGGGGAAACAGGGTATTATTCATATTTTGAGGCAATGGTTCTTTTAGATAAAATAGGTGTGTCCATAGAGGAAAAAATGTTTCCATCTGCAATTTCAAAAATTTACTGGCAGTTGAATTTTGTGAAGCATGCCTGATGTTTCATAGACTTGTCACATATCAGATCTTAATAAATTTTGAAATTGTTTTAGGCAATACTCAGCTGGCATTGCAAATCATCAAAAGAAACCAGCTTCTCCCTTCAGTGAAAATGCTCTCTGAAATACGAAAGAAACCTGTATTCCAACCTCCTCACTTGGTTCAAACTATTCAGATGCCAACATTCACCACTATTCAGAGGAAGTGAACCTCTATGAATAAAATGGCCCTTTTGAGGGAGCACTTAAAATTTGTTTTGTAATTTTGAAAAATTGTTTTAACTGCATATATCATACATTAAAGTTTTTTTTATTATAAAATAAAATCTATAGAAAGACTTAAGACTCATTTTATTTTGTTCAAATCGTTACTTATTATGTTTATTAGTACTTTTCTTGTGAATCTCTTTTATCCATTCAAAATGGTATGGCATTTTTGCATTGCCCCCAAGAAAATTGCTTGGATTTTTCTGTGAAAGAATTGTTAGTTTGAGGGAGCCATTGCACAACTGAAGCAAGTATAGTTATATTACAGTAAAGGTAGCCCTCAATTTACAACCACAATTGAAATTGGATTTTTGGTTACTAAATAGTGCAGTCATTGAGTCATCACATGACCAAACCCAATTTTATAACCATCTTTACTGTGGTCATTAAGTGTATCATGTGTAAATCTGGCTTCCCCAATTGACATTACTTGTCAAGCCAGCTAGGAAGATCACAAATAGCAATAATGTGACTGAAAAATGTTGCAACTTATGTGTGAGCCAGTTGTCAAAGCACCTGAATTGTGATCATATGATTGTGCAGATTTCTGCAACAGTTACGAGTAAGAATGGATCACCTTTTCCAACTTTGCACCGTTGTTTGTTGTTTATCCACCATAACTTTGCACCACTTTATTGAACAGTCATAAATCTAGGATACTTATATGGCAGTAACTTCCTGAAAATTAGGTTTTGACTCTTGGTGACTGACATGTAAAAATAACTTTTAAGCCAAAGTTTGGTACTATTAAAAATAACTTAGGATTTTGCAATAACAACAAAAACAATAATAGTATTAGTAATAATAATAAATTTTTCATTGTATTGGATCTATCCTTGTCAGAATTGAATCTTCTGCCATGTTACCAAGTAAAAATCAGCAGAAATAGCATTCTTGAATCATCTCAGAATCGTAGGAAAGCTAAATGCTCTGCTGGTACATGGAAACAACTTTTTGAGTATACTAAAAATATTGCCCAACACAGTGAGCCTTGTTAATTGCTTAGATCAAGAATGAGGAAAAAACAGACAGCAACAGCTACAGAATGCTAAGACAACTAGGGACAAGGGTTGTAGGAGAAAAACATATATTAGCCTTACCCTACCAGTCCATAAAGTGGCAGGTTCTCCTTCACCCAAAACCCAGAGCCACAGCTAATCCGAAATGGTTTGGCAAAACTTACAGAATGTGATGATTTATTCTAGAACTAAAACAGAAAATTTACTATTTTATGCAAGCCCCTACTGATCTGTTGAAATTCAGTCTAGTTACATACAATTTTTGACTGTTGTCAAAACTTTTAAATATGTTACTGATGGTACTTAAGCACATACTTCTTTGACTATAAGAAGCAAACATTTGTCACTTTGTCATTATGTCATGTAATTGCAGCTTCACAGTAGAGGTACAAATGCTTTAAATTAAAAAAGGGCTGTAATTTGTTAAGTTATATCAAGCAGTGTAATATATGAATAAAAGTATTAATAGGGAAAGAAACAGGTGTTGCCGATCTCCACACAGATGTGAAAAGATATGGGCAACTATTTTTGGAGGGGGAAAAAAAGACAAACCACATTTCAAGTGAAAATCACATTTATTTAATTAAACAAAAATAAAATAAACTGCATAGAAACATTTTTAAAGTCCATGGAGACCATGACTTTGTTTTAAGGCTGCTAGTAGCTGATACATCGTCTCCTTGCTACATCCTTCAGCCTTCTCCATGGACCACAAAGATACATTCAGAAGCCTCCATTTGAAAAAAACCACAAGTTCTAACATTTTAGCTTGTTCAAATAAAGCTTGTGCCTCACCTTTCTCATATCACACTGCAATCCAACAGGAATAGTTTGAATGACCAAATTTTAAAAATCAACAGCTTTCAATTGAGAAAATAACCTTGGCCAATCCAACAATAATACATAGAAGGAGCTCTAAGAATCTGTTTTCTTCTAATAAATCCGATGTGTGTGTGGCAGTATGTGAGCCACTAAAAATTCAACTTGCTTTTAAAAATAGTGTATTTTCCAAAGATAGGCAGAATCTTAAGTAATTCCCATTTTTTAAAAAATGGGAGAAAATGGATTTATGTTAAGACTAATCAATGGAGGATTTGGTTTGCAGAGTTTCTATGCTGATTTTTAAATTTTTTTGGTCTTGGACCAACCACAGGGTTTAGGCACGGAACAATACTGGAAATGCTTTTTTCAAGAAAATTTTTCAAGGAAAAAAAAAGGCATGTCATACTACTGCTACTTTAAAAAAAGGGGGAGGATTAGCACTATATAAACAAATATGTAATAGGTGAGGCACAGTACAAGGAATATCACATACAAAGTAGAAAAGCCATCAGTTTGTATGAGTGAACACACATTACATAACCTATTTAAAAATATATATATACGGTATATATGAAGGGAGGCTACAAACAAGATCTCCCATGGGAAAGAAGCTACATGGACTTAAGAAATCTATAATGCTACAAAAAGAACTTACAGGTTTGGTGACTTAAAAAATACCACACCCTATTACGTACACTAAACATTCAGTGACCAAAGCTCTGAAGAAAGGAGCTTCCCACCAAAAAAAAAAAAAAAAAAAAAATCAACCTGAGTTTGTAAGTTGATACAATCATTGAAGCGGTCTAAGACCATGCAGATACATAAACATTTTTAAAAAACCTTTTTCCTATAGAATCATTACTTGAGGATGGTGGTGGTGGTGTGGGGGGAGGGGGAAATTGACCTAATGTTTGTCATGCTGTAAAATGGCTTAAAGGAATCCCCAAAAGACATCTTCCATTCAAACTCAACTAATTCTAAAAAGTTTTCTGTGCCCATTTCTCCAACTCCGTTTATAAGCAAGATTGAAGAAATGGTGATAATCTACAAGGTGTCCACAGTGTGCTTTCATTGTATTTTTGCAGCATGTGGGAAACAATGGATGAAATAATCCAATTTAAGCTGATTTGAGTTACAATCCTTTTTCTCTGCCTAAATAAGCTGCTATATGAAAATTTGTAAAACAAAAAATAAGTGTAAGAATTCTAAATCTCCTTTCACTGTATGTTAATATAGGAGAATATTATTTCCTTTCACAGACTCAACTGCTTTGGACAATTAGCCAGGCATTTTCAGATCTCCAAAAGATGGCTTTTCTATCTTGCTATAAATACAATGTATTTCTTTTTGTCAGAGAGAAGGCCTATAACCTACAATGATTCTGTAGAGTTACCGTATTTTTCGGACTATAACATGCTCCATACTATAAGACGCCCCTAGCTTTTCAGGAGGAAAACAAGAAAAAAAAATCTGCCTCTGCCTCCCAGCAATTTGCCTCCTTGCAGCAAACAGCCTGGTCAGCTTCAGCACAGCCTGATTTAGCAGGAGCAGCTGACTGGCAGTTGGATCGACCTCCTAGAATATCACCTATCAGCTGTTACAGGCTGTGGGGATCGCCACCACCCATAGCTGCCGCCACCTATTGCCACCTCTGCATGCCCCATTTTTGGCCTCCATGCGCCCCATTTTTGGCCCCATTTCCCGACGCCTGGAATGGGCCGAAAATGGGGCCCGCAGAAATAAAAAATAGGACACATGGAGGTAGCAATAGGTGGCAGAGGCGATGGGCAGTGGTGATCCCCGCAGCCTGGAATAGCTGATTGGTGGTATTCTGGGAGGCAGATCCAATTGCCAATCAGCTGCTCGTGCTAATCAGGCTGTGCTGAAGCTGATTAAGCTGTTTGCTGCAAGGAGGCAAACTGCTGGGAGACAGAGGCTGAAGGGTGGGGGCTGGCAGGGGGGTGGGGCTTCGGCAACATTCGCGCTATAAGACAGACATTTTCACCCACTTTTCGGGGGGGAAGTGTATCTTATACACCAAAAAATACAGTAATTCGTTATGCCAACCAACTAGGCTAAGTATTGAAATAGAGGTAGGGTTGTTCCCTAGACATAAGGTCATAGAGAAAGATGATTAATAGATTTGCCTTAGGTGTCCATTTTTAGTTCAGATGGCCTAATATTAAAAGAAAACAGCCAGGATGTTATTGCTCTTTGGAGCAGGAACTAAAAAAAGCCTACCTGGCTTTCAGGTGGTTTTCTTGCCGTGCTGAATATCCAATTTCTCCTCTATTGTCTGAAGGCTAACTTTGAGGTAGATACTGGGTTTATAAAATTAACAGTGAGGTAGGAATTTAAAACATACTTATTCAAGCATCCTATACCACAGCAAATTGGGTTTGCTGATTTCCCAAAGACTTAAGGGCTATAAACATGTTGTCTTAGGTACCAATATTTACTTTTTATGCAGCTTAAAACTGTCTGAAGGTAGGGTGGTGTCTAAATTTTCTTTAAAAAAACCAACCATTACCTTTTGGCACCATCTGGATATGACCATTTAAAAAAGAAAAAAAACACTACATAAATGCTTTGGAACTTATTTTGAACCAGAATAAAATATAAGAATCTCATAATCTTCAGAAGAAATCAGACATGTGGGTAAAATGAAACAGAAGTTTTTCTTCAATAAATTAATTTTGAACTGAATTCAAAATCCAGCTCGACACCGTAAAGAAGTACCTCCTTTAGTATCAGTTCTGATTAATCTTAGGCAGAGTATCATTTATAGAATTATCAAATGCCATTAAAGTTTATTTAAGAGTACACTGTTCAATTTACTGTTGAAGTACCTGCTATTTAACAGCACTTCTTGACTTCCTTTTGGGTTTTCAAGAAAAAGAATTAATTAGAAAATTAAATAACCTAACAGCTTATTGATTAGCCAAATTCAAATATTTATAGCACAACCAGTCCCTAAAAGTAGGTTAAACTTTATAAATAACAAATATTTTGTAAATGAGATATTAGTTTAGTAGCCAAGAGCCGAAGAATAAACACATTTACAAGCTGTTTTCAAACCTTTGCTCACCTAGTGTTAATCTGTAATCAGTTTGTGCTCAGGAGCCCAGTAAGTCCATTCCAAATAAAACCAGACCCCTAGAGGACATTTTACATTGACAATATTTTCTATTATACTATTTAATTCATTGTATTATAAATACTCCTGTGAGAAGTTTCCATAAAACCTTAAAGTGAGATTACATGTGCTTTCCATTACCTATTGCAATAACTGGACAGATGTAAATCTGGCAGCGAAACAGCAGCATATAAAAATTAAAAACGTAATAATACACAAGGAGGAAGATAGTATGAAGACTTTTTAAATTTTTTACTTTTTTAAATTGTTTACTTTGTGCCAAAATAGCAGATATATACATCTGCAATAGCATGGAACAAAGTATTTGTGGATGAACAAATATAGAACATATACCTTCTTCCCCGATAGGGTTCCTTTCTTTGCAATCTTGTATAGCCCCTTAATGTAGGCATGTAAGTGTGCATATGTATGTCTTTCAAAAATAGAACTACAGTAATCATACTAACTACAGTTTATGAGGTTAAGAATGGATGGCACAGAAGTTACTGGACAAAAACTTCTAGAAATAGCTTAGTTTATGGTAAGCCTAGCAGAAAACGAAGTTGGAATCAATGGAAATAACAGCTTCCATTAGAAGATGATCAAGAATTCTGTCAACAATAAAGCTTTTAACCAGTTATCTTTGGTAGCCATTTTGGAGAAACTAACGTTAGAGTTTCAAGTACAAACTAAAATCTGAAATGTCTTCATAGGTTATGCACTGGTCTTATATTAAGTTTGGCATCAAGATAAACTTCAATTTCCATTGAACAGTGACAATGCTCAACTCCAGTAACAGTTTCTGACAAGCATAATATGACTTATATGGGACATGACTTATATATTTTATATCCTGCCTTTATTATTTATTAAAGGCAGGGGCAATAGAACCCCCCTCCCTTTGAAATAGAATATTTGGTGTCCAAGAGAAGAACATATTTTCAAGCATCATGGTATGTTATCTTAAAGTATTAATACCACCTCCATCATATACTACCAGTATATTGGTTTGCCCATGGTTAAGAAGGCAATCCTTCTTAACCAGATAACCTAGTCTTTTATCCCTTAGCAGTGAATCTCCTTTGCAACTTAGCTTTATATCAGTTGCGGCAATATAAAATATTGAAAGTAGCTTATATTTTATCAACTCTACCCCAAGCCTAATTTGAATCCATGTACTCAGAGATATTGGTGGTGACTAAAGGAGACCATTGGGTCTGCCCAACTGATTTATATAGCATAAAACATTAGAAATGCTAAGATGTTCAGTGAAGGATTGTAAAATTGTAAGTTTGTGAATGCCCTGAATCTCTGGGAGAAGGATATAGTAGTTAACTATCCCTTTTATCAATGTAGCCATCCAGTTAAAGAATGAATTCAATTTCATCACATCTAGAAAGTAATGCCTTGGAAAATGCAAAAAGTGCAGTCATAACATCTTCTGGTCAAAACATTCAAGGATAGATCTGACAGTAATTAATTATGGTTGGATAGCAAGCATTATTTTTCATTAAAGAGTATTTCAGTCACTACATGAAATGTTCATATTATCCCCTTGATTACTCAATTCTAAAAAAAGAAGTAATCTATTTGAAAACTCTGGGATTGCTGATTGCTCTATCAGTATTTTGGATCTCCAAGCAGGATCGTAAATAAAAGACATTAGACTACCTGACAGACATGACTCCAAGGACAAGCCTTAGCATAGAGACTAAGCACCATAGTAACTCAGCACATATTGGCTCAAATATCAATAGCGATATATAGGGGTTAATGACAAAGCAGGGAAGGAATTACATTCCTATGATTTGGTATAAAACTTGAGTTACAGAGCTTCTTGGAGAAGTATAAATATTCTCAGTATTTTCAGTGCTAAATGTGGCTGATTGAATTCAAGGTATTTACTAGTTTTGGTTTTAGAAATGCACCCCCATTTTACATGGCATTCTTTGGCGCTGGAGCAAATGAGGTAGGATTTAGGGTGGTTCACTTTCCACAATCTTTATCCCAAAGAGGGAGCTACATGGTTATCCTGTCAGGATGAATTTCCCATGTAGATATTCCATTTAATAGGGGGGAGGGGTGCTGAAAAAGGCCAGAAACCATCCACTCAGATTACATACTATTATCTACTTTCTTTCCTTACTGTTAATTTCTGATATGCACCCTGGAATTCCAAATTTGAACTTACTGTGATATATATATACCTGAAAAATCACACGTCTTGATAATGCTACATTACAAAAAGCTAATTTCTTCAACATAAAACTTCAAAACAGAAATATCATATCATGCCTAAACATCTGACTCATTGTAATGGCTATTGCCACATATTTGTTACACATATATAGACACACACAGACAATACATAAGGGAAGTGACTAAAAAAAAAAAAGAACTGGAAGAAAGGTTATGAGAAAAAACACTAGCCTAAGAGGAAATCCTCATTTGCCTTGAACATCCAACTATATCAAAGCTACATTCCAAACATCCTTTTGAAGTCAGAAGCTATTTGGGGAGACACATTTTCACCCATGTAGTAGCTCCTTAGACGACAACAGAGGTAACTTCTAAAGTTTCCAAGTGTAGAGAGCAACTTTGCCTAGCAGATAAAAAAGCTGTTTCTAGGATCTCCAGATTATGTATGGGTGGTTTTGCCCTGAGGCCCTTTGGGCCAAAGTCCAAACTACCAAAATAAGGTTGAATACATCACATTTTGTACATTCTCAAATATTGTTTTTGTGTTGTGAAATTACTGCATTTTTCAAAATACACATGCAGAAAAGTACCAGTGACAAAGAAGATGCTATGTGGAACAGTATGTCAAATGCACTGAGGTATAAAAAAAGAGAACAAAGAAAAGATTTCTCTGCTGCAGCAGCATCTAAAAATACAGCTCCCTTCACCTTCTCCAATAAGAAAAACACAGTACAATCTGAATATAAAACAATTAAAAATCTAAAACTACGGATTTTTTTTCTTCTTTTTCAAGATGAGTGTGCCTCTTTGGCAGAATCTATAAAGTTTATCACACAACCAGCTAATGTGCACAGAAACAAGCTTGTGCATGAGTGTCCCATTTAGGGAAAAAGAGGCTTAATTTTATACTGCACCGTGTATACTGTGGATGTAAAGGAACATAAAGATAATGAGGTAGATTAAGAGTTCATATAATCACAGGTTCAACCCCTGCAGATATAAAGGGAAATACATTCATCTATAAAAAAATTAAAGATGAGGTAGGTTTGAACTATCATTGGAATATTTGTGTGTTTATGTGGGGCAAGATCTCTTAAAAGGATTTTCCCTGAGACAGTTTCTTCTTAGTACACATATACATAGATTAGAATATGAGGATTCGATTGTTTCCAAAGTCCACCACAACTATCATACCATCTGGGGTGACTGTAATACCTGAAGGACGGTCCATCTGACCAAAGCCACTTCCCTGAGTGCCAAATTTGCATAAAAAACTACCATTTGGCTCAAAAATCTGAACACGGTGGTTCCTGGAATCTGCCACAATAATACGACCTTCCTGATCCACAGCCACACCTTGTGGGCGCAAAAACTGACCATTATTTGTGCCTTCAGACCCAAGGAAACGGGCTGACTGACAGTCAGGGCGAATTACTAGAAGACGATGATTGTTGAAATCAGTCACGACAAGATGGCCCTCGTGATTGAATGTCACACCTCGTGGGGAATCAAAGTGCTTCCAGAGTGCTCCTTCAAAACCATATTTATTCAGGAACACTCCATCAGGTCCAAATAATTGAACCCGATGATTCCTTGTGTCGGACACCAGGATTTTTCCCTCAGAGTTAACTGCTACATCCCATGGATAATTGAACTGCCCATTCTTGGTTCCTTTCTCCCCAAACTTGAGAATGAATTGGCCATCAAAAGTGAAGATCTGGATGCGATGATTGTCCTTGTCTGCCACAACAATCCTCCGTGAGGAGTCACAGGCAACGCCAGCAGGCCTATCAAACTGGCCAGGTCTGACACCCAAGGTGCCAAACTTGTGGTGAAAAGCCCCACAAGGTTTAAAGATCTGAATGCGGTTGTTGCTACGATCAGCAACAATAATATAGCCTTCCTTGTCTACACTAACACCCCAGGGGCGGCACAGCTTTCCATCACTGTCCCCCTCACTAGCAAAACAGAGCCCTGGCAATCCAATGCCAACATAACTGCGTCCTGATTTGACCATGACTTTAAATGGGCTGTTTTCTATATGCTGGTTGCACATCATGACTGAGATCAGATGTTCCCCTTCCATCTGTGGCCTGTAATTTACAAGATAAGTTCCATTTTGCTGGTCACAAATATCAGCACCAAAGAGATTTCCATCTGGCCCCATTACAACAGCTGAAATCATGTCTCCCCCAGAAAGGCGAGGCTCACCATCATGATCATAACCTATCACTGAGAAAGAGGCTACTTTGCCTTGCAAAGCACGTTTGAGACTCTCTCCAGTGGCTTTGGTCAGAGGAGCAAAGGCTCCACTGCTGACAAACCCCATAGACTTGATGGCCAAATACAGTGCCTGATCAGGAGGAGTAAACATGACCCTGTCATCCTCTTGAGGCTGCAGGAAGCCTCTTACATTCTTCATTTCCTGCATCTGTGCAAGCATCCGATCCCGTGCCAAGAGGATATCCATGTTCCGGCCCTCTTCTAAGACTTGCTGGACTGCGCTGATGGTGTTATCTAGCTTATTAAGATTTTGACGTAACTTCTCAACTTGCAAGTAGAGGGATTTGGCTTTCACTTGGCGAATTTTTTCCACCTAAAATAAGAGCAAGAAAACATATTTGGAATTATCAACTGCAAATACTGTAGAAAATGGAACAGAATATTTGAATGTGCAAAAGCAAACTCTACAAAACTACCATATTTTTCGGTATATAAGACGTACCTTTTTACCCCCCAAAAAGGGGGTGAAAATCTGGGTGCGTCTTATACGCCGAATGTAGCCCCGGCCACCTGCCGGCCCCCACCCTTCGGCCATTTTCGGGCAGTTCCAGGCGGCAGGGATCTGGGTCAGGGCACAGCCTGAGGAACAACCCTCTTCAGGACAGTCTGGGGTGGGGGGGGGAATCTGCCCGGCAGCTTCAGGGAACAAGGCAGGTGCCACGATTTACAGCTGGTCACCACTCTGGCTGTCCAGCAAGCAGCTTAGGACAGGCAATGGCCGCAATGACTTCACTCCCCTGCAATGTGAGGGGAGCTGCCGCCTGAAAGTGCTCAGGAACACTGAAAGTGTTTGGGAATGTGCAACGGGAAGAAAAGCACTTTCAGGTGGCAGCGCTGCAATCCCCTCCCCGAATCAAAACGGTTCCCAGTTCCCCGCTGCACATTGCAGGGGAACTGGCTGGGGAACCTGCCTCCTGAAAATCAGCTCTGATTATTGCATTGGGGAATCTGGCCAGCGGTGGCTGGAAAGGAGGCACATTTTTCTTTAGGAGCTCTCGTTCGGCTCGCTCAGCTCCTGGGCGCAGAGGGCTTAGGCAGCTACTCACATTGCAGGGGAGTGAAGTCATTGTGGCCATTGCCTGCCCTAAGCTGCCTGCTGGGCAGCCAGAGGGGTGACCAGCCACAAATCGTGGCACCCGCCTTGTTCCCCAAAGCTGCCAGGCAGATTCCCCCCAGACCGTTCCAAAATACTGGTAGGCAGAGGTAGAATTCTTGTTTTCTTGTTTTCCTCCCCCAAAATCAAGGTGCGTTTTATAATCCCGTGCATCTTATACACCAAAAAATACGGTATTAAAATTAATAAAGAATTTACTCCTCCCAACTTGATGTTTATTTATTTTATTTACTGATAAATTTCTATCTAAATATTCTTGGAAATCCAGACAATAATGGTTTCCAACATAGTATTATATAATAAAGTAGCCAACAACAAGCTGAGATAAATACAAAATAATATATAACAAGTCATATAAAACATTGCTAAAATAGCCATCAAGCAAATTGATAAATTCAAAGAGATAATCACAAAGGAAAGCTAGTTTACAGAAGTGTTTTTCATATCTGACTAGACAAGCAGCCAAGAAGCACTAAGACACTCCTTGGGGTGGGGGTGAGGAATCCATAATATTGGTATTGCCACTGAGATGGCCTGGTTGTTTCTAATCAAGTCTCCTTTTGGGGCACCCAAAGTAGATCTTGTTATATGAATGGAGCTTCCAGATGGTAACGAACTGTGGAAGTCATTCTTTTGGATAGTCGAAAAGATATTGAAATAAGCATTTTGGGATTTACTTCAAAAAACAATGGATAGCTACTGACGTTGAGTGAGATTTACGTCACATATTCCTAGGAAACCTGACTAGGCACTATATCTTGATTTTGCTGCAGCTTCTAGATAATTTTCAAAGGCATGCTGCTCTACCCGAACTTAACACTAAATCAAAACAAACTTGACATTATCTGTGCCAACCAGAAGCAGCTGTAATTACTCATCAGTCATTACTTTTACAAGTATCTGTACTTTTTCAATAGAGAAAGTTCAAAAATTTATTTTTAATAGGGAGTGCACTATTATCTGTTTTAACGCAGATGGTATTACCATAGAGAAAGTATGTGATGAAAGTAGAATATATTTAATAAATATTTCCCAATCAGTTCTAACCAAATGAGAATTATGTTCAGTAGACATAGGCAATAACTTTACCTCAGCCAAGCACCTTGTCAATTGTGACAGGTCTAAAGTAGCTATAAACTTCTAAGACAATCCAAGAGATTAGTCACAGCCCAGATGTTGAAGTTTCCATATACCAACAACTTAGAAACTCCAATGTTGGATTCAAGACAACTCCAACTACTCAGATACAGAGAACGTTAGATTGGTGGCTGCCTGGTACACAAATAAATGCTATCTGAATTCCAGATACGCTCACATAGTTCTGTAGCCTGATGAAATTGTGGTTTGTTGCATCATGGTCTGGAAGAGGAACAGAATTTTTAGCAATGAGGGCAGCACCTTGCCCCTGCCTTCAACCCTTCAAATCTGGGCTTAGATGATATTACCTAACTCATCTAATGAAGTCTCTATTAGCTTTTCCAAGTTAGCTTTTCCAGCCTGAATACAATCCTCCAAGAAGATTATTTTATTAGCCATCAATAACAGAAGGAAAGACTTTGAGAAATTACATGGGTGCCTGTCTGTCCAAAATAGGTTGATGGATGGCTTTGAAGAAGTAACACTACCTGCTTAACTTACTCTCTCCTGGAATAGTCTGCTTTAGCTATATTAGAGTAACTACCTGTACCTTAGGACTTCAACATCAGTTGCACCTTCCCCTGAAAATATCTGATTCCTAACTAAATTTTCCTAATCTCAATCAGGCTTATTTTCTAAAACCCATCTCCAAAAATCTATCTGAGTAAAGCCTTCCCATAAAGACCTAATGCCCAAATGCTAACTTGAAGAAATTAAACGTAGACTCTACAAGAATACAATGCTGTAGCATGAGAACAATTCTTCTCAATTGAAGGGGGTGGGCAAGCTTTAATCAGTCAGCCATACACAAGTATTGCAGCAAAAGCCATTGCGTAAGTGGGCAATCAAATGGTTGTTATAAAGCACCAGCTGGCAGCAATAATGGTAATTATTAATATTAGCAAGTGACCAACAAGACTCTCAACAGGATATTGGCCAATTAGACACTTCAAGATTTAATTAGTACCATTAGAAAAAAAAGCTTCCATACAGAGATACGTTTAGAGATTTCTCAAACTGTGGGATGTAGTCACTTTCACTTGATTCTTCCTACTACTGTTATTAAGCCATACAACTCCAACTGGATCTGTTTAGATTTCTGTTCCAAGCAGGAATTCATTGCTTTTTTGTAAAAATGAAGTCAAAAGAACTTTGTTTTAATGGATTCCCAATTATAACAACTTTTGTTTATGAAGAACAAAAAAATTAATTCAGGATATGACAAAATTACCATCTTTTATAAGCAACTTTCCTTCCATGGATAATTTTTAAAAAAACATAGAAGTATGCCACTGCAGTTCATAAACATATTGCATTCTCTTTTTACCTTCCACAGCAGCTCACATTCTCTTTCTTCTAAAGCCTTCTTGTGTCTGGAAGTCACAGCCTTCACTTCAGATTGTACCATTTTTGCCTTCATCTCAACTTGTTCTGCTACAGCTTGCGCTTGCTCAATACTTAGCTGTAACAAAACAAAACAAAACAAAAACTTTTTAGTCAATTAATTGTACAATAGAAGGCAGAGCACTTATTAAGCTATTCATTTTTTAAAAAATTTTTTAGAATGGAAGCATAAAATAACCAAGTCTACCAAATAGAAATATAGGATACTTAGAGCATGTTCAAACCTTGACCAATATAATCAGCCTTTGAAAGTGGCTGGCAATGGCTGATTGAACACTTCCATTATTAGCATCAGAGGACAGTGTTAAAATCTTCTGTGAATTAGGAATTGGTAAAACAGATTATTTTTCTCAGAAAGTGATTTATCCAAAATGGTCTGTTTCCCCAGATCTACATCTCTTGCTCAAATAATGCATATACCTTCTCCTGCCATGAATTCTGATTTAATCTACTACACAGAATCCTTCATTCACATATAATATTAGACCCTGCTTCTTTTAATTCTTTTAATTCATTCACTATGTACAGTTATCACATAAAGTGTGAAAAAAAAGAAGCCTTGTATTTACCTATCAAATCATACCCCCACCAGTCTTTCTCATTCAATTCAGTCAATGAACTACTGGAAATATCTGTATTCATCATAATAGCTTGGCCCAGACTCTGCCTGCATCCCACCAGGAGACTTTACAGTAGATTAAATCTAGCCATTCAGGAATTTGAGCGTGTTCTCTTCAATATATGCCTTGCAGTTCTCTGCGCTTAATTTCTGCTTGTTCTCTTTCTTCTATGCCCCCTTTCAGTGGCAATAAGCCTTAAAGTAAAAGAGTCATGAATACAAATTCAGCTTTCCCAATTTCTTAATGCAATCGATAATATAATTGATGATCTCATTTAAACATGACCAGCACACATTGAAAACATTTCAAAATAATTTCATTCTTGAGACTCTGACACACGACTCGACTGAAGAGCTGGTGGCCGCCTGGGAGAGTGCGGCCGCTGGAGCTTTGGATCGTGTCGTGCCTTTGCGGCCTCTGACCCGATGCTGATCTCAATTGGCTCCTTGGTTCTCTGAGGAGCTGAGAGAGATGAAGCGTCGGAAAAGACGCCTAGAGAGCATTTGGAGGACTAGTCATTCTGATTCCGACAGGTGAGGTCTTATATCAAGACTAAGGTGACCAGACGTCCCGCTTTTGGCGGGACAGTCCCGATTTTTAGCAATTTGTCCTGCGTCCTGCGGCGTTTCAAAAAAGTCCCGATTTTTCATTCCGCCTCCTGAGTCCCGCTGCCTCTTGAGCCCCAGCTGATGGCTAGAAGAAAAAAAAAACTGTTTAAACTCTTGCCCGGGGCTTCAAAGGGCCGCCCTACAGGCAATCAGTGTAAAGAGTTCCTGAAGCAGTTTTTTTTCCCCCTAGCTAAGCTGCAGAAATCTTTGGTGCAACGTGACAAAATGAGTCAGAGAGAGATTTATTTTTATTTTTATTTTTCCTCCCCAAAAAAGGTAGGTGAAAAACTGCAAACAATGGGAAATTTAGGAGGAGAGTTCAAGATTTTAAAATACAAAAGAAAAAAAAGCTGTATTTAACTAGGGAATTGTAATAATTGAGATACTATTAATTGTATATTGTGTTGAAAGCAGAAATGGTTAAGTTGTGGTTCAGAGGAATATATGGGGGAAATTATTTGGTTTATTATTATTGGTAAATATAATTAATTGATTTGTAAGAAATTGGATTGCATGGAAATAATAGGAATATTCATGTTCATATTAATATACAAAAAGATAGTTTTATGACTAATTGATTTATATTAAAATGTTGAATTTGTATTAAACAACTGTATTACATAATTACATAATTAAACAATGTGAGGATGGATATAAAAATAGATGACAATGGGAAAGGGTATAATATAGAATAGAAGAGAAAAATTGAATTTGATTAAGATTAGAGATGAGGATGAAGGGTAATATTGGTTTTTTTAAAAAAAAATAGATGAGGAATAAATATGGCAAAAAAGAAATATAGAAATTGTAAATTTAATTGAAGTGACTAAACACTGTTTAAATTTGTGAACCGGCCAAATACTCTGTTCAAAGAAAATAAATTGTATGTTTGTATGTGTGTTTCTAATTACTGCTATTTATTCATATTTGTTCTCTTTTATTCTTTAAAGTTTAACCATTCATTCTTTATCTTAATATCTTTATATTTGTTTGGGGTTGGCTTTCTTCCCTTTCATCTTTTTTATTGTACAGCAATCTTTCTCCTCAAACCTACCACCTCTCTCTTTTCTTTCCTTCTTACTTTCTCTTCCCCCCCTCTTCTTCTCCTCCCTACTTCCTCTTCCTTTCTCCTTCTCCTCCTCTCTTCCTCCCCCTCTTACCTTCACTCCTACTCTAATTTCCCTTCCCTTCCTTCATCCCTCTCTATTGCTGTATCCTTTTATGCATATGGACTACTCAGAGGGCAGAAAAAGTTATTTTTGACTGGTCCTCGCACTTTTGACCAGTCCTCGAACTTACGACTGTCTTCACATTTTACGTTTTTTGCCCTATCTTATCACCATGGTGAAGAGAAGCAGTTGTGAAATGAGTGACATGGTTGTTAAGGATGCTGCATGGGCATAAATGTGAGGATGGTCATAAGTGTGAGGACCAGTCAAAAGTGCGAGGACCTGTCAGAAATGACTTTTTTCAGCCCTCTGGTTAGTCCTTTTGTGCATATGGACTACTCAGAGGGCTGAAAAAGTTATTTTTGATTGGTCCTCGCACTTTTGACCAGTCCTCGAACTTACGACTGTCCTCACATTTTACATTTTTGCCCTATCTTGTCATCATGGTGAAGAGAAGCAGTTGTGAAATGAGTGACATGGTTGTTAAGAATACTGCACGAGCATAAATGTGAGGATGGTCATAAGTGTGAGGACCAGTCAAAAGTGTGAGGACCTGTCAGAAATGACTTTTCAGCCCTCTGAGTAGTCCCTATACACATAGCCATGGCCACCCGGTCATATGACCAGCTAGCCACGCCCACCCAGTCACATGGCCTCCAAGCCACGCCCACACAATAAGTCACGCCCACAATGGTGTCCTTCTTACCAATGTTAAAATCTGTTCACCTTACCCTATACACATAGCCATGGCCACCCGGTCACGTGACCAGCTAGCCACGCCCACCCGGTCACGTGACCAGCTAGCCACGCCCACCCAGTCACGTGACCAGCTAGCCATGCCCACAAAATAAGCCACGCCCACAATGTCCCTCTTTACCAATGTTAAAATCTGGTCACCTTAATCAAGACCTACCTAGTGGCGATAAAAGCGGCGAAATCTAACCATTTTTCCGCTCTTATTGCATCTGCAGAGAACCGCCCAGCCGCCCTGTTTAGGGTGACCCACTCCCTTCTTCGGGGGGGAGTGTGGGAGGATCCTTTCAGGGTCGAGCTGAGGATTTTGTGCAATTCCTGCATGATAAAGTCGCTCGGATTCGGGAAGGCTTGGACTCCGACTGGGTGAGTCCGGGGGAGGAGACGAGGGTAGGTCTTGAGAATATTATCTGGGAGGAGTTTGATCCTGTGGCTCCCGAGGATGTGGACAGGGTTCTGGGTAGGATTAGTGCCGCCACATGTTTATTGGACCCGTGTCCCTCCTGGTTGGTACTGGCCTCCCGGGAAGTTACACGAGGCTGGCTCCAGGGGATTATAACTGCTTCTCTGAGTGAGGGTGCCTTTCCCGCCGCCTTGAAAGAGGCAGTGGTGAGGCCCCTCCTCAAGAAGCCTTCCCTGGACCCGGCTGAATTAGTTAACTACCGTCCGGTCTCCAACCTTCGTTTTGTGGCGAAGGTTGTTGAGAGTGTGGTGGCACGACAACTGCCCAGGCACCTGGATGAAGCTATCTATCTAGACCCGTACCAGTCGGGCTTCAGGCAGGGGCACAGCACAGAAATGGCATTGGTCACGTTGGTGGATGATCTCTGGAGGGCCCGGGACAGGGGTTGCTCCTCTGTCCTAGTCCTATTAGATCTCTCAGCGGCTTTTGATACCATCGACCATGGTATCATGCTGCAGCGGTTGAAGGGGTTAGGGGTAGGGGGCACCGTTTTGCGGTGGTTCTCTTCCTTCCTCTCCGGCCGCTCGCAGTTTGTGTTGGCAGGGGGGCAGAGGTCGACCTCGAGGCATCTCGCATGGGGAGTGCCACAAGGGTCGGTCCTCTCGCCTCTTCTGTTCAACATTTATGTGAAGCCGCTGGGTGAGATCATCCGTGGTTTTGGGGTGAAGTGTCACCTGTACGCTGATGATACTCAGCTGTACATCTCCACCCCAGACCACTCCAACGATGCCCTTGATGTGATGTCTCGCTGCCTGGAGGCCGTGCGGGTCTGGATGGGGAGGAACAGGCTCAGACTCAACCCATCCAAGACCGAGTGGCTGTGGCTGCCGGCGTCCCGATATAGTCAGCAGGTGCCATCGCTGACTATTGGGGGTGAATCTTTGCCCCCCCCAGAGAGGGCTCGCAATCTGGGTGTCCTCCTGGACGCACGGCTGTCTTTAGAAGAGCATATGACAGCCGTGGCCAGGGGGGCTTTTTATCAGGTTTGCCTGATCCACCAGTTGCAGCCCTTTCTGGACCGGGACGCCTTGCGCACGGTCACTCATGCCCTTGTCACCTCCCGGCTGGACTATTGTAATGCTCTCTACATGGGGCTCCCCTTGAAGAGCACTCGGAGGCTCCAGCTGGTCCAGAATGCAGCCGCACGGGTGGTTATGGGCGCACCTCGTTGTGCCCGCGTGACACCCCTCCTGCGCGAGCTGCACTGGCTCCCAGTGGTCTTCCGGGTGCGATTCAAGGTGTTGGTTACCACCTTTAAAGCGCTCCATGGCACAGGACCCGGGTACCTTCGAGACCGTCTTCTGCCACCAATAGTCTCCCACCGACTAGTCCATTCCCACAGAGAGGGTCTCCTCAGGGTGCCATCAGCCAAGTTATGTCGGCTGGCGACACCCAGGGGGAGGGCCTTCTCTGTGGGAGCCCCAACCCTGTGGAATGAACTGCCC